AATAAGCTTTTGGAGCAGAGAAGTTGCTTCCATGCAGAATGCAGAACATGACAAACCAAAAGCACAGGAGCCGCAGCAAAACTCTTTTGTTTGTTTGTTTGTTTTTTGAGACAGGGTTTCTCTGTGTAGCCTTGAGCAAAACTCTTTAATTTTACATTTGATTTTTATTTGTATGTGTATGGGTGTTTTGCCTGCCCATATGTCTGTGTGTACAGTGGCTTTAGAGACCAGAAGAGGATGTCAGAACTCCTAGAACTGGAGACAGATGCTTGGAGACAACTTGTAGATGCTGGGCATGGAACCTGAGTCCTCTGGAAGAGCAGCCTTCTTTAACCACTGAGCCTTCTTTCCGGTGAGCCCCCTCTCCTTAAAGACAGTATTTCATGTAGCTCAGGCTGGTCTTGAACTTCTGGCTCTTTTCTCAATTTCCCAAATGCTGGTTTCTGGGTGTTTTGTTTTGTATCTGTATGGAGAGATAGTGTGGTGGCTTCATCCCCAGTGCTGCAAAGACCAAGTAGGATTACTGTAAGCACAAGGCTAGCCTGGTCTACTCAGCGAGTTCCCAGCTACCCAGTGGTATATGATGTCTCAAAAAACAGCATTATTTTTTTCAAAGAAGATAAGACAATATAGGGACTGAGAGATTATGGGTCAGTGTTAAGAGCATTGGTTGCTCTATGAGAGGACATGGGTTTCATTTTTAGCATGCATGTGCTTGCTTACAATCCTTTATAGTTCCAGTTCCAGAGGATGGAAAGCCTTGTGTCCTCCCTGAACACTAAGCATGTACATGGTGATACAGACAGGCAAGCAAAGCACCCCCACACAAAAAATTACATTTAAAATAAAGTGGACAAAATGAGTTCCTGAAGATTGAACACCAGCTCTGTCTGCTTTGAAAACATTTTCCCTCAGCCTTTGAACTAGGGGTAAAGATTCCTGTTTCAGATGGATATAACTGGGGGTAAAACACAGATGCCAGCTGCAAAACTATTTTTTTTCCCTTCGCCAACATAGACCTGAGGTTCCTCAGGTTCTGGGTGCTAGGTGGTGTGTATCTTTGGATTCAGAAAGGTCACTTAATGAACTCTTATCCACAAAGTAGTTCACATTCTCAGAGCATTTTCTTCCCTAAGTGAGTGCCAGGGCCTCCCCAGCCCAGCTGGAGATTTCCTGATGATTACACTATGAAGTTGGACAGAAGGAGGGAAGGCCATGGTCTTTGAATGAATATTCCCATCCCGGAGGAACAATGAGCAAATTTCGCTCAATACGAAGCACCCCACGAGAGGTTTTGATTCAACTACTGTCTTGTCCAAAGGATCGGGCACTTTCCCGGGATCTCAGTGCCCTTGCTAATTTGGTGAGCTGTGTGGCGGGCATGGATGCGCCCTCACGAGTATCACTACAATACCTGCAGAGAAATGAGCTGGGAAAAGGCGGGCAGAGCTCCTTTTCAAGAGTTATGAATGAGGAGAAAGTATTTGTAGAACTCATTGTTAAACCGGTGGAGCCAAAACTTGGGCGCCTGGCCAATCGGAGCCTGGAGGCTATTTTGAAATCTTTCCAGCAGCAGCCAATAGGTGCGCAGGAGGCGAAGCTTGGTGTTGGCGCAAGCCAATGAGACTGACGCTGTTCCTTGAGGCCTGGGGCTCTGCCCTTCGGACTGTCAGAGGGTTAAAGATGGAGCCGAGGGAGAGAGGGCGCCACGAGGTACTGGTTGTCCAGATAGGATGGGGCTGCCGCCAACCGGGATCTTCCACTAATCTTCACCTTGTCCCCGCGGTGAGAACAAGAGGTGTCTGTCCACGTGAGTAGCTGGTCTAGGGTAGAGTGTACAGTGATGCCAGGGAAACACCAGATGCCAGGAAGCCCTGTTTTGCTCCTCCGGGCAGGAGAATCTGTTAGGACAGAGTACAGAACTCATACTGGGGGAACGGACCAAGGACCGGGTCTTGGGCTCCAAGGGCCTCATCTGCTAGGAGTGAACCACCTCTTTTATTCTAGGAGTTCTAGGCTGAAACAGGGTGCAAGTGGTCCCACTGTACTCCCCCTGCAGCTGAGTGCAGGCCCCTCTCCTTTGTGTTTGAGCCCCCTCGACTGCTCACCCTTTAGCTCCCTCCCGGGAGTGCCTCACCAGAATCAGAATCATGTTGGAGAAAGTTTGAGTGCCCTGAAGTTCCTAAGACCAGAGGACTGCATCCCAGCTAGAATCCCTTCTGTTCTCCAAGGATTGGCTAGAGGTCCCACCCATCCATGGTGGTTGAATTTCCAGCCCTGTGTGCAGTGAGGGCAATGGATTCCTTGCTGGCTGCAGGTGCTCTGACTAGGTTGCACTACTGTGCTGTGAGAAGCAGTGCAATGGTATTGTCAAAGCATCTGGGACCAGCCTCATAGACCACCTCACCTACAGCTCCTTCTTTCTTCCCTTTCCAGGCCTGGCCCCTCAGGCCTGCAGGTCATTCCCTCCCCCTGCTCATTTTACTCTCTTCTCCATGGAAACTTGAGATTGTAGCTAGGCCTGTGTCTCTGGGGTCAGAGGGCATCCTTTGCTCAGGCAGCTGCTCCACCCAGGTGGGCATGCATTCTAGGTCTAAGATCCCACCCCAGCCACCCCCACTCCCCATGCCCGCCCTACCCCGTGAGATCGACCGGCTTGCTGGAAACTCTTTCCCTGTTGCACTACTGTGGGCCTCTGGGAAGCAGTGCAATGATGAAAGGGCATCTGTCAGGCCAGCTAAGGAACCTGAGGTACAAAAGGACCAGTGCGTGGATCCAATTCATGAGTGCGGGGCTAGATAAGTTTTTCCATCTGAGAGGATAAGGTGGATGCTGGGAACCATATTCCAAGGCTGGAACCAGTATAAAGGAGAGAGCCCAGATTTGGAAAGGCTCGAGTTTCAAGCTCTTAGCCCCTCCCCATCCAGGTTAAGATAGACTAGTCCACTGTGGGTGGGTGGGTGGGTGGGCTAAGTGGTAGCTCGTGCTTTAAATCCCAGCACTGGGGAGGCAAAGGCAGGTGGATCACTTGGTTCCAGGGCAGCCTGGTCTACATAGTGAGTTCTAGGACAGCCAGGGATACACAGAGAAATAGTGTCTTGAAAAACCAAATTAACTAATTAATTAATTAATTAATTAAAAAAGAAAGAAAGATTGGCAAATCTATGCTAGGTGTGGTGGCTCATGCCTGGAGGCAAATGCAGGAAGATTGCCTCAGATTTGAGGCTGTCTCAAGAATCAAAGCAAAACAAAATTAGGAACTCCAGGACCTTGTGGGAAGAGATGTTCACCTCTTTGTATGTAAAAGGTTTGTGTACCTTGCTTAGCCTTGACTGTGTTGAGAAGAACAGGATTCAGCCTTCCCCAAGATAACCAAGGTGAAGAGAGGATGTCCTCACACCTCGGGGTTCAACAGAAGTGTCCTGCCTGGGACTGACAGATGGACTTGGAACAAGAAGCCTACAGAGGAGGCTGAAGAGGAGACCTGCCCGCCATGTCTGCTTGCTCTTTTATAGAGGGTATGTCCTAAGTAGGAGAGGCATGGAGATGTCTAGCATGTCTGCTTTCTAGACATGCTGGAGTTGAACTTTGAAGGACGCCTAATCCTAAGCGTGCTTGCAGAGTTACCTTTGCCAGAACCCGATGGCCCATGCCTTTGAACGAAGCATGGGAAGGCATGGGGAGATAGATCTCTGTGAGTTCAAAGACAGCCTGGTCTTCACAGCAAGTTCCAGGTCAACTATATTTACATGGTAAGTGCACCCATCCCCTTTAAAAACAAACGAAAACCTAGTGGGAGGTGGTCAGGCCTGTCTCCTTGAGAGGAGGCCCAGGGTTCCAGATTTGGTTTTGGAAGTAGCCTTCACCCTACTCTAGCTCCACAAGTCCTGCCAGCCATAGGGGACTGCTCTGATACATAGTGAGTCTCAGGCCCGATGGAGGACTTTGATGGAGAAGAAGCAACCACCTCCCTTTGTGGCTAAGGGTAGATGTGGACCAGCAGCTGTTGCCCCAGCAGATCTCTCCTGAGAGGTGCAGGAATCCTTACTTGTTCATATCTTGGATCTGGGCTTGGAGGTCAGGGGAGGTCTGGGCTGCAAATGATTTAGGTTGGCTAAGTTACTTCTGTAAGTTTGAATCGGGAAGATTGTTCAAGAGATGAAGACAACCTTCAGAAATGCAGCAGATGGGCAAGAGAGAGGGCAAAGGTTGAGGACTGCCTCAGGGATAGAACACTTGCCTATTATGCATAAGGTTCTGGGTTCAATCCCTAGCACTACAGAGGGGAGAGGAGGGCGAAGAGGGGAGGGCAGGGGAAGGGAGGAGAGGGAAGATAGGCGGGAGGATGGGGCACAGAGGACATCAAGACCTAGAGCAAAGAAGTGGTCATGGGTGCAGGCACGCAGTCTTTAACCCCATCATTTGAGAGGCGGAGTTCCAGACCATCATGGTCTACGGTGGTTTCCAGTATAGCTAGAACTACATAGTGAGACCTTGTCTCAAAAAACAACAAACAAAAAAAGAAGTGATCATGAAGGGGAGGTCAGGACATGATCTGGAGAGGGATGCATGCAATGCTGCAGAGTAGGCAGGACACCCAGAGGGTGCAAAAGCCAAAGCTAAAGCCCTTTGGAAACAGAAGGAAATCCTTTTGGATATTATCGTAGTGAACTGGAAGCTAGATTCAATTACCAGGGCAGACTGGTAAGGCAGGGTAGGGAGGGAACTTCAAACTGGGAGAGGGCTGGGTGCTTTGGAACGAAAAGGACCGTGGTTCAAAAAGAGATCAAAATGCCAAAGTAGCTCAAAATCCAGAAGGTACCTGGGTGCCTTTAGAGGTCACAGTGCGGGGTGGAGCGGCTGGGGGGAGGGGGTATTAGGAGGGGGTGGGGCAGGAGTACGCCAGTGCGCATGCCTGGAGAGGTGGGCATTGTTACGCGTACTGGTGCTGGGCCCACCCCCTGACTCTGTGGGCATTCCCTGGGGTAGACTGGGAGGGTGGCGGGTAGTCTAGGGATCTGAAGTCTGCACTGCAGCTGTAGGGAGACAGTGGGTGCGTCCTGCAGTCCCCATCCCAATGGTTTCTCATTACCTTTCACAGTCCTGGCCCTCGGGAGGTTCTCCCTGCCCCGGGAGCCCAGCCCCAACGGTCGCTCTACCCACAGGCAGCATCGGCCCACCACCAGCAGTCCATTTACAATGGAAGTCCTGGACGAGTTCGACAGCGAATTCCCCCTGAGTGTGACCTTCTGCCAGCTCATTTCCGAGGATGACTTCGAGAGGCAAGCAGCGACCTATACAGAGCGGGCGCTGCGACGCCTCTTTCGCGCCTTGGACCGCAACCCAGCGCTGGCGGAGAGGGTCGTGCGGAAGGGCAAGCAGACGGAGATCGAGCAGCGCGGGCTCCTCTCCAGCCTCTGGGTGCGAGCGGCCACCGACACCCCCAACTGTTTCTTAGGGCGGAGCTTTGAGGGTGGGACTTTGGCTGAGGGATGAATGGGGAGGTTATCTATTGGCTGGGGTAGCCAAAGGGGTCTTTCCAGAGCCAAGAGTGGCAAGCCTGAGGAAGGAGCAGGCAGGCGACCCTCTTCTGGCTTTCCGCCTTTCCTCATTTCAGGCGAAATTTGTCTGCACTGTCCAGGGGGATCTAAACCAGTGCAACAGCATGGGTGCCCTGGAGATGCATCAGCGCCTGGACCAGCTGAAAAGGCGCATCCACCGTGTGCATCTGTATTCCCAGGGTAAGGTTCAATTTCTGAAGGTGCAAGCCCTTGGGACTCCAGCCTAGTGCATCTGCTGTCCCTTTGCCTCCCAACACATTACAGTGTTTGTCAAGCTCAGGTTGGTGATATCTTAGGTAAGGTGCCCACCTCCACTTCCACGCTGGATTTGCCTGTCTTGGATCAGATTTAATGAAGAACTGTAAGGAGGGGACAGAAAGGGAGAAAGGAAAGAACACCTCCTAGCAAGATTAGCTAATTTAGAGGCTAACAACAGGGTGGGGGAGGGGTCATAGACACATTTAATCTCAACCTTAGGATATTTATCTTAATTAAAACTATTTACTTACTTATTTGAGACAGGGTCTCATTCTGAAGTCCTACTGGCCTCAAAATCTGCCTGCCTCTCTGCCTTCAAAGAGTGCTGTGATTAAAGGCATGTCACCACACCTGGCTCTAAAACAAAACAATATGATTATGATATGTGTGCACGTGTACACGTGTGTATGTGTGTGAACACAAGCAAATGTGTAAGGCACACACGTGGAGGTTAGAGGATGACTTTGGGGATCAGTTTTTCTACTGTAGGATCTGGAGATCCAACTCAGGTTGTCAGCCTTACATGGCAAGCACTTCTACCCCATGAGCCATCTTGCTGGCCCCTTAATATTTTATCTTTTCTTCTCTATCTCTGTTTCTTCTACATTTCTTAGAGTCTCACAATGTAACTCTGGCCAACCTGGATCTAACTCAATGTTAGATCAGGCTGGCCTCAAACTCACAGAGACCTTCTGCCTGGACCTAAAGACTTGGGCCACCACATCTGACTCTCAGCTGACTCCACCTTTGTTTTTTGTTTTTCTGTTTTTTTGGTTTTTTTTTTTTTTTGATATAAGATCTCTCACTGAACATGAAGCTTATTAATTTGGGTAGGCTGTCTGGCCAGTGAATGTCAGGAATCTGTCCATTCCCAGACTATTGTGATTACAGGTGTGTCCTGCCTAGCCTGTGGGTAATGGGGGTCTGAACTCAGATTTTTGTGATGCGGAAACTTTACCAACCGAGCCAGTTCTTCAGTCCACTCTCCCTTTTCTTATTTTGTTACATCTATTATTTTTTTAAGATTTATTTATTTTATTTATAGAATACACTGTATCAGTCTTCAGACACACCAGAAGAGGGCATCAGATCCCATTACAGATGGTTGTGAGCCACCATGTGGGTGCTGGGAATTGAACTCGGGACCTCTGGAAGAGCAGATAATGCTCTTAACTGGTGAGCCATCTCTCCAACTCTATATCTTAACAATTTTAAAGCATTTTATTATTTATTTATTTATTTATTTATTTATTTATTTATTGTGTGTGTATCCCATGTGTACAGATGCCTGTGGAAGCCAGAAAAGGGCACTGGATTCTCTATAGCTGTAGTTACAGGTGCTTGTGAGCCACCTGTCATGGGTGCTGAGATCTGGACCCAGGTTGTCTTTAAGAACAATAAGTGCTCTTAATGACTGAGCTATCTCTCTAGCTCTACCATTACATTGACTCTGTGTGTGTGTGTTTGTATACATGCATGAGCACACTCTCTTTCTGTTCTGCATATGTGAATGGCTGAGGACAACTTACAAAAGATTCACCTCTACCACAACTCGGATTATCAGGCTTGGTGTGAGCACCTTTACCTGCTGAGACGTCTACTTGTCCTTATTGTTTGATAAGGTCTTGTATATTGCAAACTGACCTTAAACTTGTAACTGAGATTAGCCTTGAACTCCTGATCCTCCTCCTTCTATCTCCTGAGTTTGCACCACCACATCCAGTGAATGAACTCTTCCAATGGCTGGTGAGCTTTAACACCCACTGTACTCTGCAGACTCAGTGCGGTCCACAAGACCTAAAAGTGCAGTAGGTCCTGGCTCAGGGTCTAGCCATATGTTTGGCTACTTTGTGGGTTCCCTTTCCTTCCATCCTTCACCCCATTTCCACCCTTTGACTAGATAGGAGAGCAAAAGGATAGAGGGAAAGGGACTGTTGTTACTGTTAGACTACTGCCTGCTGATTAGGAGCACTGAATTCCTTGAGGCTAGTTTGATCTTCACCAGCAGGACATCCAATTTCTTGTTTCTTCTTTGTGCATGACTACTTAAACCATGACCAATGCAACCAACCAGCAACCCACCAACAGTCTATCCCACCTCTTGAGGTCCTCAAAATTCCAAACGTCACACAATGGCAAAGACTATCTGCAACTGGAAAAACGATGGCCTGCTAGAGCATGAGGCAAATCTAGTCAGCTGCTGTGGACAATCTGAAGCAGCACCATATCCCACACTGGGATTAAAGGGAAAGCACATTCCTATTTCCGTGGTTTTTAAGGAAACCAAAATGCAGAGGCTTCACTTTCTTTGAACCCACCTTTGCAAGATCTCTCTGTGGGTTTTCTTATGAAAGCAGTACCATTTTCTACGCCCTTGTCCCACTGAGGCTGGGCATAGGCTGAGACTTACTGGTGCCTGAATACTCTTGCTGGTGTTGGCCAACTCACTCTTCCATGTTCTTGACTGGGAGGCCACATGTTACCTTACAGGGCCTGGTTTACTCACCATTTCCTTCACAGTTCTATCCTTAAAGTTAGACATCTTGGCATGGGTTTTGCCTACTTTTATGCAGACGAGATCTGATTCTGCCTGTAAGAGACAAAAGTGGGGCTGATGGAAGGCTCTGTTGGTAGAATTCTTGTCTAGCCCACATGAAGTCCTGAATTTGATCTTAAGCACCACATAAACTGTGTGCATACATATAATCCCAGCAACTTAAAGGTTGAAGGCAGAAAGGCCACAAATTAAGGTGCTCCTCAGATGTAGTTAAAGGCTGGCTAGGATAGGTAAGACTATGGAAGGGAAGGCAGATACAGAGATGATAGAGACAGGAAGAAAGAGAGGGAGTAACTTTTGAATCCTTTCTCCAACATACTGGGTGACTACTGAGATAATGCCTGCTGGCACCTTCATTCATGGCCCTGGATATTGTCCCAGGATTCTTGAAAAAGCCTGAAAAGGATTTTCCTTTATTTGGAAAGATATTAGGAAACCTTTGTGCGACTCCGTTTGGCCCGACTGCCCGTGGCGTCAGTACTCACTAAAGTGTTTGATGTAGATGCCAAGAAGAGGAGGAGGAGGTCGAAACCAAAGAAACCAGATCCCATCTTCCGAGACCGATCAACCTCCCCATGCCTGCCACCAGCCCTATTACCACCACCGCTGCCACCGCTACCACCACAACCTGTTACCACCGTGGCCTCTGTAGTGGCTGCGTCACCCTCTGTCTACACTATGCCTCGGGTCTTTGGCCCCTTCCCTCCACTGTCTGGCAAGCCGGTCAGTGGGAACATGCTGTCCTGGGAGGGAGGGCAGCTTTTTTTTTAACCTGTCCTGTATACAGTTTTGGTTCTCAAATCTCTGCAGAAGGGCTCTTCTCAGACAGGCTTTGGTTATGGGCTAGCAGTAGGTCAAACACATGAGAGCGCTTGCCCTGGCCGAGGGCCACAGAGCAGGTGGAAAGTACAAAGTGTCTGTCCTCTGACCCAGAAAGCCAAGTAGACTTAGGATGTCCCTAAGAATAAGGAAAACCATAGACTTTCCCCACATCCCTATTCCTGCCCCTCAGGGTGTCATTCCTGAGAGCTCTGCCTGTGTCTGTGCCTTTGGGCTCCCCCTTTCCAGAAGCTCTCCCTTTCCTGTATCCTTGCCTCAGGGTTAGGACTTCCTGAGTTCCCAGCCACCATCTCCTCTCTATCCCTGAAATCAACTCTTGCTTCCTATGTAAGGACTGCTTTTCTGCATAGAGCAGTTTTCACTCTGCCCTGAGATTTCCTTTGTTTCTTGTAGATGGAGAAACTGGATATTTCAAGGTCTGAAGTGAAGTTAAACTGGAATGGTCTTTCATCAATGTCAAAGAGGTAGAAGGGATTTACTTAGCTTGAAGGAGCAAAAACATTTGGGGGCCATCTTGAATGCCAGACTTGATGTTTTGTCCCAACCTCTTAATTCTCACAGTTTTGGGTGGTGATTCTATTCTATTCAGAGGGAGTCTGGACTCTTGGGCCTGTGTTACAGACAAGCATTCGGAGACTGAATGGGCCCAAGGCCAACGTCCTGTTTCTCTCCTATCTTACAGCCACATGGTTGATCTGACCCCCTTGGTCCTCAACCCCGGAGGCTTCCATTTCTCGTATTTGGCAGGAAACAGTGCACACAAGCTCCATTGTCCTAGCTTTCCCTGGTGAGTATCTGCATCTTTCTGACACTGATCCCTGTGGGCTCTCTTCCAGTTCCACAGTCCCTGCCTCTGGAAGGCACTGTAATAGTATGCTCAAGGGCAAAGAGAATCTTGGTCATATTTCTTTCATGCCCAGAAACTCACATGTAATCAGTGTTTGCAGTGGTAGAAGACATCAGTGATTGGCCAACCCAGCCCAGCTTCTGCTGGAGACAACTAAGGGGTAGCCTTGGAATCGTTATATGGCAAAGCTGGGTTTACCAAATGTGAATTCTTAAACCTCACTTGTAGAGATAGAGATGTAGTTTGTGATCACAGCACTTGGGAGGTGAGGCAGAAGGATCTGAAATTCAAGGTCATCTCTGCTTACATGGTCATGGTGAGGCCAGCCTCACAGCATGGGACCCTGTCTCAAGGGGGAAACCTCTCTGTGCTCCACAATAAATCCTCTCCTTTCCTAAACTCCTGGAAGCCACTGCTGTGTTTCTGTGTGTGTCTTTATGTGTCTCTGTGTGTGTATGGAGGGCAGAAATGAATGTTGGAGGAAAATACAAGTTTTTCACAGAAAGTTTACCTGAAGTAATTTGCAAACAAGCAGACAGACTTATGCTACTTTAAAGCTGAGGGATGTAACCCTGGGATTGCTGGAACTAGTGCGGGACTCACTAAAAGTCCAACATCGTACAATTTACTGTCAAAGCTTAGGAAGTGCCTCTTGTTAACTATGGAAGCATTGTCAAATTCTGTGTGTGTGTGTGTGTGTGAGTGATTATTGAATCCAGGACTTTACATATGGGCAAGCGCTCTACCACTCACTGAGGTACACTCCAGCCCAAGTCTTGTTTTGAACTCTTCCTTGAGATGACTTATCTGTCCCATTGTTGGATTATTTTCCTTTATACCATGAAGGTTGGGAAAGCACCAAAATCTATCATGTTGTGTGTGCCCAGAGGTTTGTGCTCTTAAGACCTAAAGTCCCTATGAGAGTACCCAATACGTCAGAAGGGCTGAAGTTCCTTCCATATGTGCTATGTCTGATGGCATTAAGCATGCTTTACTTATTGAAGAACAGAAAATTGTTGTTTTGAAGATACAAGCACAGAGTCAGAAAATGAAAGAAATATGAGGCTTATAAATTATAATAAAATAAAAATTAAGGCCTGTTCTATGGGCAAAAAACTTAATTCTATAATTTTTTTTTTGTTGTTGTTCATTTTTTGAGCCAGTTCTTCACAATGTAGCCCTGGCTGGCCTGAAACTTTTGATGTAGACCAGGCTGGCCCTGAACTCACAGAGATCTGCCTGGCTCTGCCTTCTAAGTGCTTGGGATTACAGGTGTGTGCCATTATGGTTGGTATTCCGTGCATTTTTATATATTCATAATTGTACAACCAACAGCCACTAATTTCAGGAGATTTTTATCATCTAGAAGGTATGAGGATGATGGTGACATCTGTGTTATCAGTCCACAGGTGAAGCAAGAAGAGAAAGAAAGAAGGGGGGGGGGAATAGGCAGAGAGGCAGGTAATGGCTATTTTATAAGTCATTTCTTCTCAAAGGGAGAAAATGTTTACAGATCATTAGTACTGGATTTACTTAGAAATGGCCGGAAAAGGGTTACACATTCCATCAGCTGAGGAGCTGCAGTTAAGTGAGGACATGTTTAGGTTTGGAGACTTGCAGAGTTCGCTGTGGTAGCTGATCACAGCTTACATGTGCCTGCTGGTCTTGCAGGCTGCTCTTACTTGAATTTACCATCCTCCTGCCTCAACCTCCTTAATAATGGAATTACAGGTGTAGCCCTGGCTGTCATGAGCCTTGCTCCAGGTAGAATAAACAGAATGATATGTATTCATTCTGTAGAATATTATTAACCATACTATAATGCATGGACAAACTGTAAAAGTGCAGGAAGTGAAATGTTTAACACAAGTTAAAATGCTAAGTAGTGGTGGCACATGCCTTTAATCCCAGCACTCAGAGGCAGAGGCAGGTGATCTCTGTGAGTTCAAGGCCAACCTGGTCTACAGAGCAAGTCCAGGACAGCCAGAAACCCTTTCTGAGGGGGGGGGGTTGGGGGGAGAAAGAACAAAGAAAAATACTATATGGGCATATGGACTAGGTTCATTCAGAGAGACAAGGAGTTATTGTTTATGGCTGCAGAGTTTCTGTTTTGAGTCAAATTCTGAAGAGTCACAGTGTTTTGTATGTAATGCCACACAATTGTATGTTGAAAGTGGTTCGAAAGGCTCTGGTGTGTGGACTCAGTGGTAGAGCACATGCTTGGCATGCATGGCTCGCCAGCATTCTAAGAGAAATGATTAAAAATCTGAAGACTTGGAATATAGTTCAGTACTTAGTGCTCACAGAAGCTTGTATCTTATTCAGGGTTTTACTGCTGTGAACAGACACCATGACCAAGGCAACTCTTTTTTGTTTGTTTGTTTGTTTGTTTGTTGTTCTTTTTTGTTGTTGTTGTTTTCTCCGAGACATGGTTTCTCTGTGTAGCCCTGGCTGTCCTGGAACTCACTCTGTAGACTAGGCTGGCCTGCCTTTGCCTCCCAAGTGCTGGGATTAAAGGCGTGCCCCATCACTGCCTGACTCCCAAGACAACTCTTATAAGGACAACATTTAATTGGGGCTGGCCTACAGGTTCAGAGGGTCAGTCCATTATTATCAAGGTGGGAACATGGTGGCATCCAGGCAGGCATGGTGCAGGCAGAGCTGAGAGTTCTACATCTTCATCTGGAGGCTGCTAGCAGAATACTGGCTTCCAGGCAGCTAGGATGAGAGTCTTAAAGCCCACACACACAGTGACACATCTACTCTAACAAGGCCACACCTACCAATAGTGTCACTCCCAGGGCCAAGTGTATACAAATCATCACAGCTAGGCATAGTGGCACAAATTTGTAATCTAAGTGCTGGGGGGCAGAGACAAGGAGATCCCTGGAGCTTACTGGCCATGTCTAGTTGAACCGGAAATCTTAATGCCCAATGAGAGACCCAAAAAATAAGACAGCAATTGAAAAAAGACAATGGTGGTGTATACCTTTGGTTCCCTTGGGAGGCAGAAGCAGGCATATCACTGAGTCTGAGGCCAGCCTGGTCTACAGAGTTAGTTCCAGGATAACCATGCACGTATGCTTGCACAAAAAAGTAAATTTTGTCAGTGGGTGAGCCTACTGACCTGAGTCCAGTGCTCTTCTGCAGGGGCATAGCCTGACTATGAGACTGCATCTTAAAATGCCAAGCTGGGCAGTGGTGGCGCACGCCTTTAATCCCAGCACTTGAGAGACAGAGGCAGATGGATTTCTGAGTTCGAAGCCAGCCTGGTCTACAGAGTGAGTTCCAGGACTATACAGAGAAATCCTGTCTTGAAAAAAAAAAAAAAAAAGAAAGAAAGAAAGAAAGGAAAAAAGAAAAGAAACAACACCTAAAGATTATTCTCTGGCTTCCACACACTTGACAGTGGCATGTATGTGCCTGCACCCCAACCTAAATATGCACCCCCAAAGTCCCCAGAGCTAGGAGTGATGGTGTGCACTTACAGTTTCAGGTTTTCTGGGGGCTGTGGAGGGAACATTGTTTGAGCCTAGTAGTTTGAGGCCAGCCTGAACAACACAGGTAGATAATGTAATTTTAGAAAAGAAAAGAGAAAAGCATGACAGCTCACACCTGTATTTCATTCCTAACACTTGGGGAGCTGAGGCAGGTGATTTGCTGTGAGTTCAAAGCTAGCCTGAGCTACAGAGGAAGACGTTGTTTCAAAAATAAATCAAAAGTGAAGCCAGGTGTGGTGGTACCCACCTTTACTCCCAGTACTGGGCTGACACGGGACTATCTGTGAGTTTGTGGCTAATCTGGTCTGTATACTTCTAGGACAGGCAAGGCTGCACAGACAGACTGTGTCTCAACAGTGAAGAGGGAAGTCAGTGAAATTTGCAGTACTCTTAGTTGCTGTTCCCAGCACCAATCTACTCTCTGTCTTTATAAATTGTTTATTCTGTCCTCAAAATATGGCCTTTAGTGTCTGTCTGATTTCATTTGGGTTAATTTTTCAAAGTCCATTCATCCTGCAGCCAAACCTTTATTCCTTTTTATGGTCATCTAATATTCCTGTATCACTTTGTCTCTTATATGTGTGTGGTATGTTTGCACACACGTGTGTGCAGGGCATAGAAGTGAAAGTCAGGTGTCTTCCTCTAGCTTCATCTTTTTCTTAATTTTAAATTGTTTTTATTTTGTGAATATGAATATTTGATCTGCATGCATGTCTGTGTACCCCAGGAGGTCAGAAGAGGATGCCAGAGGCCTGGAAGTGGTTATAGTGAGCCACCATGTTTGTGCTGGGAACAGAACCCAGGTCCTATGGGAGAGCTCTGAACCATCTCTCTCTAGACTTTATCTCAGTTTTTGAGACAAGGTCTCTCAATGAGCCTTTGGCTGTCTGGAAAGTGTCCAGGGTTACAGATGCGTGTGGCTATGCCAGCTTTTAGATCAGAACTCAGGTCCTCACGTTTGTGAAGCAAGCATTTTACTGACTGAGTCGTCTCCCCAGCCCCTGCTCTTGTACGTCAGTTACAGATAACTGAGAACACTTTTGGCTACTAGGAATAGTGACATCATGAAACATTTGGGGAAAGTTTTTGTGGGGTCATAGTTTTTACTTGAGTAGTCATCTAGATTACATGCTAACTTTAATATATATGTATATATATATTACATTATGTGTATTATATACATATGTATATACACCCATACATATCTATACATTTTTTACAGTGTTGGTGATGAAACCCAGGACCTCACACATGCTCGGCAAGTACTGTTTCACCCACTTAAATTCAGGGTCCATGTTAACTATTCTGAGGAACTGCCATACTGTAAAATAGTCCTACTAGTGATATACTGAGGGTTCCTTTTTTTCTATAAGCTAGCAACACTTACTCTCATTAAATATTTGAATGTGAAAGTCAGAGGACAGCTTGAGAGAAGTCAGT